GATCTGCGTAATAGAATATGTAATTAGGAGGATACAGTGTCAGCCTTACGTGGCCCTGTCGTCTGTCACGTCAAAACTAGACTCATTTGACTGCAGCAACCACACAGATCCCGACACTAAAGCAAAAACATGTCTGTATTCAATGTTGGACATAATTGCTTTGTGTCAGTTGTTTCTAGACCACAGGCGTCAATTACATTTTTCGTATGGCTGGAAAGAGTTGTGTTCGCCAAGGGGTCTATATAAGACCCCCTGATATTGACAAGTTCTGTAAAGCATATGCATTGCGCGCGTCTGCTCTTTTAGATTTAAGATTCTATCCACCTTATCCATCTAGGTGTATCAAAGTAGGACTTTCTTCAGTCAGCTTGCAGTCACAGCTCGTGTGTTGGCCACCATAGATGTTTCAGTTCCACAAGTCACTAATTACAACGTCTGAAGCTTCACTTAGAAACAAGCTTCAGTTGCAGACGCTGTTTAAGACAGATCGACATCCAGCCAGGCCGTATTACTGGGTGTCACATGTCAAACACTTACAGTTGTGAGCACGTATACAAAACATGAAATTGCATATTTAATATAGACCAAATACTGACTCAAAGGACCACTGGTACACACACTTCGTAATCACATATTAGAATACAATAAATAAAATGCAGATGTAAGAAACGAAGATTTATATGTTTAAACTTTTTATAATATCGATTGTTAGAACCCTGTGTGCTGTCTGTTTCCTAGTCTTTCATTCACCTGATCAAGGAGTAAGAATGTGCTCCCAAACGTCGTATCCATCAAACTACAGGAGTTGACATCCATAATTTTTTGCCTTCATGTGTATCGCATCTAAATGCCGTTCAAAGACAATTTTTATAAGAGTCTACACCAACAGCTCCATTGATAAAATTATCAGACGAATGAAATATTGTGTTACGATTGTAATGAAAGGCTGTAACTGCCAAATTGCTCTGTCATGTTGTACCAGAGTGACTGCAGACATTATGCATAACAATGAGGTACAATGCTATGCAAACACATCCTCCCTGCCTATCGGGTTGATTCCCGTCTCCCAATACAGACCCACGACAGGCAGCCAATGGCTTGAAAGATTTGTGCTCCAATACACCGATTCCGTTGTTACTCCGCCAAAGACATGGGTATTCTAGGGGGGTGAGTTTAGTTTTACTCTCCTCTTTGCAGTATTCCAGCAATATCACAGCGGGGGACACCAGAAATGGGCTGCACACATTGTACCCATGTGGAGAATCGAACCCGGGTCTTCAGCGTGACGAGCCAACGTTTTAACCGCTTGGCTGCCCACCGCCCCTTCTGGGTATTTTAATTAAGTACACGTAGCTGTATCATCTGCAAAAGACGCAAGTATGTGTGGCGGCCATATTGATTATGCATTCATCAGGTCATCAAGGAAAACAATGCGCCTCCCCCATCAATCTCTGTCAGAAGGAAAGCCCGGTATACACTGCCCGACTGTCGGATTGTATGCCATCCGATTTCATGATGGTAACAAGTGAAACGTTTCGTCTGTATGCTGTATTTAAGGAAACCCGAAATAGCAGTGCATGAGTTTTCTGACATTGTGTGTCAAAACTCTTGTAAACACTAGACCTGTGGTATTTGAGGGAAATGTTAGACTTACTTGAAGCCTAGTGCTGCTTCATATATTGTTACTAAAAATGTGCGTAACAATTTGCTTACATGTATGTACATTGACCCTGCGTGGTTGGCGTGGTGACCACTACATTTACCATTACTCTTCTACCGCCAGTCTTTATATTTCAGCGACTAACCAGTGTTTCTCCAGCATCATTCACTGTTCGTCCACACCTTCGACTTTTCCTCAACTAGTAACCAGTATTTTTTCACCACCATCCAATATTCTTCAGGTAATTACCACTATATTTCCACAACAATCCACTATTCTCCAGCTAGTAACCACTATTCTTCCAACACGAGCCAATATTCTTCAGGTAATTACCACTATATTTCCACAACAATCCACTAATCTCCAGCTAGTAACCACTATTCTTCCAACACGAGCCAATATTCTTCAGGTAATTACCACTATATTTCCACAACAATCCACTATTCTCCAGCTAGTAACCACTATTCTTCCAACACGAGCCAATATTCTTCAGGTAATTACCACTATATTTCCACAACAATCCACTATTCTCCAGCTAGTAACCACTATTCTTCCAACACGAGCCAATATTCTTCAGGTAATTACCACTATATTTCTACCTCAATCCACTATTCTTCAGCTAGTAACCACTATTCTTCCACCACAATCCTTTATTCTTCAACTAGTAACCACTGTTTTCCCACTATAATCCACTATTCGTCATCTAGTAACCACTATTATTTCACCACCGTCCTATATTATTCAGCTAGGAAATACTATTTCCCCAATACAATCCACTATTATTCAGCTATTTGCCACTATTCTTCCACCGCCATCCACTATTCTTCCTTCACTACAAACTATTTACCATCGTCATTAAGGGATAAAACAAATTCAGTACAGTGAGTCCATGTGAGGCTTCCATGCTAAACTATGGCATGATATCTGAGTTGGCTGGTACTATAAAATCTGAATTAGTCATGACTAGTGCAAGCAGTCACACAAAGGTGCATTCACATCTACATGAGTTAAGTAATCTTGAACGTGGGGTTTAGGCCCACTGCACCTCACTATTGTACTAACAACCATTCTTCCGCCATTATCTACTATTTGTCAACCATTATCGTATATCATCCCAACATTGTGCGATATTTGTCCATTCATATACACCACGGCGCGCCAGCTTCATGTGTAATATAGGTCTTACTTTGAATGAGTGAGTGAGTATGGTTTTACGCCGCTTTTAACGCTATCCCAGCAATATCACAGCGGGAGACCACAGAAATGGGCTTCACACATTGTACCCATGTGGGGAATCGAACCCGTGTACTCGGCGTGATGTGCGGACCTTTAACCACTAGGCCACCACACCGCCCAGACAAAGGTCTTAGAGGAAATCGATGAATACATATTCCTATGCTGACAACTCCTAGGATCCTGACCAACCCTGTACAGCGCCAGGCAACTAACTTCTACTCCGTCCCCCAACATGATGGTGGAAGACTGGCTTGGAACAAAGATTATTCCAATGCATGCCCCACGACGGAAACATGTCTCGGGCTTATAGAAGAACTTCCCACTATTCCCCGGGTGTAATGGACAAACTGACGTATTCATAATCTTGTTAAAATTTATAACGTAAAATCAATTTTGAAATGTCCCGGATAGCAACTTGCGATACTTGCTATCTGATTGACGTGTTTATTCAAACACATAATAATGGAGCTTCCTACTTCATGCAGTGTTCAAGGCCCTCCGCGGAGAGAGATATTAAACGCACACTCCTGTGTTGAATGTCAGACTTCATATAACGTCTTGTGTTGCCATGACATAACTACCAGTATCCACACTAAACCCCTAGGTCATCATTCTACGTGGTTGGGTCGGTTATCAAATAAGCATCTTCAGAATAAACACAGTCAATGGTGTAAAAATGAGCATGAGCTTATTTGCTCTTTTCGTCATTGCCATATCTCGAGAGGTCGGTCTGTCGGTTGTTCCTTATTGATGAAGCTTGCCGAGACACAATCAATAGACCAAGGCGCAAAAAACTTCACTTCTTGTAGTTGGTAACACCGCTTTGTATTAGCAGTGGAAGTCTGTGATAGACAAGTCTCAAGAGGGTCAGTTTACAGGCTGGTGGGTGGAGGGTCATCACACAGGCTGATGGCTTTCACAGTGTTCCAGGGTATTACTTGTGGACACTCACTGAGACATTCCTTTATGGGAATAATTTGCTGGTATCAGCTAAGATTGAGCTGGGTAGTCATAACTCGTAGTAACTGCTTGGACATGTCGAGGTGGTCTCTTAACTCGCAGATGGTCGTTGGAATTGTGGAAACCTGGGAAGGGATCGATCAGTACATGCCTGGGGTGGGGATGGGGTGGGGGCGGGTTTTGTATGCTGGAACTCGGGTATTATATGGATGCTAGATATATTTGGTGGCGCAAAACCATATATTTCTTAAAATTAATTATAAATGATAAAGACTAAATAAACTAATTTCGACATATAAATCTTTAAAAATGTTGTTATTAAACAAAATTGTTTTTCAGCATCCTGAAGCATAAGAAGTTTTGTTAAGCAATTGTGACTTGTTCACGAATCCCTGGACGTCGATCCGACTACCAAATAGTCAGTCTCCAGGGAGACATGAAGCATAGTAATTATCAGGGAAACACGACCTATCACTCGACTCATTAGATAAGGATGGAAACATAAAGTATGTTGAATGTGGTTCATTATTCATTCAGTTGTATAGATATCAACTACAGTGGCATAATGGTTTGCTATACAACTGTACTGGGCTGTCCTTGGAAGCTATCCGCTACGGCTATTGATGCAGGTTATGCAATGACCCAGCGAGTCATTCGATCAGATAACAGCTGTATATTTCGTCGATCGAGATACAGTACAAACAATGATACAATCTCCACAACGTAATCTTGATTGGAGATCAATGTTTGCGATATTGGACTTAAACGGACATGATAAATTTGTTACTGCTTTCAAAGTCTCTTGAAATGTGTTTTCATCTGAGATGTACGAAGGGCTATATTATATTCCCATTAAAGGGGCATAAGTTGTTACAAAGCCCTACAGTAGGTCTTGGTCACACGCCATCCTGCAGAAACAGCCCCTGTGTATATACCAGGACTGTACTTGATGGTAATCCATAATCAGCAAACATTCATAAGACATCACCCATGGTGCTACAAACTGCGCGGAAACCCATCTTTCTGTTACATGCTTAGTAACTTGTTTTCTTCTTCAACTCGTCACCCTCTCAGGTCGACGTGTACCACGGGAACCACTCCCGCCAGCCCAGCGTTACACCCAAACCATGTAGTATACATACATAGAGAGGTCTTTTCTGCCCAACAGAGCGTGAGTTTCCCGCCAAAGTCTGTATCGATCTGCTGTAATTGCGGAGTGGTTGTCGGTACCAGGCTTCTGTCGCGGACCACCATCACTGGAAATAGCTCAGTGGATTATTGGTAAATACCGCCCCGGCCGTGTCTTCTGCTGCAGTTTAGGCAAGGCAGAGCTTCAGTCAGCAGACATCGGTGCAGAGGTGCTCTTGTTGTAAGATGACTCTTTGACGTTCCACTCTACATCTCTGTAGTGACTGAAACTGTCGTCTGCTTATTAGGTCTGTCCAGTGCACTGTTGTCGACGTTGTTTGAAGAAGGCGGGTAGATTGGGAGGATGCTGAGAAGTGCTAGTATTACGTGTTAAACCAGTCTACATTAATTCGGCGTTGATCGCTAGATCAGCCCCTTAGGACATTACTCAAATCGCTTCAACAAGATGGCGACTGATTTCGACGCTGAAGAAACTCCGGCGTCTGAGGGCTACCCCCAGCCCACAGAAGACCGTGAGTACCAACACACCGCCAAACGTCTCAATTCCGGCCCCCCTAACCCTGCACGACCACGGGACCTCATCGACACTTTATTTACCGTGGTCAACAGGGATTTACTCATATGCAAACTATTCTATTTCTTCTTCTTCGGGGCCTTTGGCTCCTTGTTTCCCTTACTTGCCATTTATTTCAAGCAGCTTGGTATGAACCCATCACAGAGCGGTGTTCTTATAGGATTTCGTCCTTTCATTGAGTTTCTCAGTGCGCCTTTCTGGGGTGGTATTGCAGACAGATACAAACGCGCAAAGGAACTTCTACTCTTCTCCTTGTTTTGTTGGATCATATTTACCTTGGCCATAGCCTTCGTGACTCCCCCTGCTGAACGATGCATCAACAACAACGGCACTCACGACATCCTCATCACACCACTGGGACGGGAGAGACGGGAGACATCCTTCCACTTCGAGGAACACCTTGGTATGGCCAGGAACCTGTACACCCCTCACCACGACGAGAAGGAGAGTATTCTGGTGATGCGTCACAGACGTGGGACAGGTGAGAGTCCCCGCCGACTTGACCATACCAAGTACGCTAATGCCAATGAGTCTGACGTTAAAGGCCTGTTGCATTCGCCATTCAGCACTATCGTGTATCGAGAAGACGAAGTCCAGGAAGTGTTCTTTATTCTTCTGCTACTTGTTGTTATTGGAGAATTCTTCAGCGCACCTGCCATAACATTCGCAGATTCTGTTACTCTAGCTGTTCTGGGTGATGACACAGAAAACTACGGAAGACAAAGAATGTTTGGATCGCTTGGATGGGGCTTATCTATGTTCTTCGTTGGTCTTGCTCTGGACCACTCCACCACCTTCCCTCAACATCCCTGTGGAACACAACACCATGCTGAGAAGAACTACGTGGTTTGTTTTGCTGTGTTCACTGTGCTCATGAGTTGTGCCTTCATCACGGCCTTGCAGTTCCGATTTGATCACCAAGGTCAAGGTCGTGAAATAGTTCTCTCTCAGATTACTATGAAGGTGAAGGACAAAGTTAAACAGACAATAACAGGCATTAAGAAAATTGACAGAGAGAGACTTATAGAAGAGGACGACGATGATGCATACTTCCATGCTGAAATTGAGAAACAAAAACTCAGGAGCTGGAACAGCGACAGCAACAAGAATGGCAGCAACAACAGCAACAGCAACAGCAACAACAGCAACAACAGCAACAACAGCAGCAACAGTCAGACAGACCTCTTCAGATAAGTCTTGGGAAGGACCATGACATGGTAACTGATGCCTTGAAGGCGCCAGGAGCTGTGGCCCCCGGGGACTATGACTACTCTGGAGACCCCTTCATGAGTAAGTGGATGACCGTCATCAGGATGCTGGGGACATACAAGTACATCTCGGTTCTTTTCATCGCCTGGTTTATGGGTTTTGGAATCGGCATCATCTTCACATTCCTGTTCTGGCACCTTCAGGATCTGGGTGGCAGTCCAACACTGTTCGGCCTGGCCTCTGTCATCAACCACATATCAGAGCTTCTAGCCTACTTCATGAGTACCAAGTTCATCGCTTCATTCGGTGAGTAGGACTTTGATATCAACCAAACATCCCGCTTCTGGGTGCATACCTAACTGTTGTTCTTTTAAAATGAGTCAGGTTTAAAAAATATACATGAATAAACTCATGAAAGCTGACAAAATAGTAACAAATAGGTAAGGTAGAATGCTTACCCACATGCAATAATTTTGAAAAGCTTTATCTCAAAGTGTGTAAACTTGGGTATAATACCTTCCGACACATACTGCAGAAAACGCCCAACAAAATAAGCCATTAGCAACTGACTATTAGATGCCATGCACTCGAACGCAGTATTTGAAGATGTACAAATTTCCTATCTGTAATATTACATATTGAGGCCCTTGAAAGATTGGTAGAAGTTTCGCATGACGATGTTTTTATGCTTTATGTAATAGACGCACATAACCTGTTGCTCTGACCTGCATAGAGAATCCCCGTAGCCCATTACCGCGTTGATAGAGCCCCTCTTAACTTACGAACGTGAACAAACAATTTCCTTTAATACCATTATGGATTTTTAGCATTTTCGATTACCTGGTTTGTGAAATAGGCTAATTGAAGTTGCAACGTTGGCAATGCTATTCTACCATGACATCAGTAAACACTGGATTGTGATTGGTTAATTAAAGTCATTCAGAGGTATATAATCACGTTATACAGGTCTCTGTTTTCCGTGCGCAATCATACATGGTTTACGGTAATGCACTATTTTTGTCTGCCCACTAACATGGCGGACACCAAACAACCTACCGATGCATCGATAAATTACGGCGATTTTACTGTCGGAAATTACACATATGTCTTTAAAGATGGATTTAGCGATGACGGGCTCGACTCACTACTTGCGTAAATCACAGCAATAGGTGTTTATACATACAAAAGTACTTCGAAAGCATGGAAACAAATATTCAGTCGAACAAGATCAAAACATCGTCTGCTTTCCGAATAAAAATTCAGCAAAAACAAATATGTTTACGTTGATTCTATGTTATGTCAGAATAGATCCAGCAATAGACTGCTACATAATTTCCCGTGTTAAATTTATTATCAGCTTTCGTCAACGATATCGCCACTGATCTTGATCCGGTAACGGAGGATGCATTAACATCGAACGCCGAAGAAATTTTAATGCCTTCCGTCGACATAAATAAACAGTTGGGTTATCAATTCAAACAAAATGATAATTTTGAAATTTGTACTGTTTCAAATTTAGCGGTAGTAAAACACAATTACAGTATCTGCAAACCGTTCTGTTTAGCCCAACATATTTTTTTTCTAAAAGTATAATATCATTGAAAAAGTTATTTAGCTTAGTCATGATCCCTCTTATCCATTACACTGCTTGATCTAAAGTAGTCTATTAAAGTATAATTAATTACCTTACCGTGTTTATGCCAGAGGTACACCCTCATGTCCTGATCCATCCTTTCGGAAATATCACCACAAATCTGTCTCTTTGTCAACAGACTCGCGAACATGCCAGCGAATCCGATTCAATTTGAATTCACTACACTTTGAAGCCACTAGGTCACAAAACACTTTCCAAAATGTAGAAAATAATATCCGTAGAATCGAATTTGAGCACAAAGTACAATACATGAGTGTGTAAGAGTCATCACAGCTGTCGCACGCAGACGTAGAGGTGCGTGAAATCGTCAAGTTGACAGGGCGCAAAATTCAACAGTATCTAAATTCGGTACAACACGGACTCCTCGTTACAGCAAAAGCGCCTCCACTCTTAAATTTTGTACCAGTACCAGTAATTAGATATCAAAGACTATCTCAGTCATACAATCAGGTTAACCTTTGCGCAAACTGTCAGAGGCTCTCCTGTCGCATCTTTCCAAATTTGCACGTAAATGTAAACAATGACTTCCGAGAAAAGGTCAAGGCCATGAGGTTGCTGCCATTATTCTGGTGGGGTAAGGGTCTACTGTGGAATTTTCAAATGTGAACCAAGCTTTTAAACTTATTTGATATATGTTTTCCAACTTATCAGTTAATGATTGGTGATTGATGCATTGAAAACAAAACGTGATTTGTTATTACTGAATCTGAGTTTGTTAGTCATTGACGGTTTGCCACCAATCACCCCGTTTCGGGCGATGCCACTTTGAGATTGAAATGCGAGGCCGCTTCACGTATTGACTCGTAACCAAAGAAAGAGCTCCACCTGAAATTGTTCATAAAATTGTCATATAGAATGGAGATAAAACCTATTGTGTGAAATCAGAGTATAACGAAATTATAATAGTTTCTAATTGTTCATTTAAAACCCTCACGCTACGCGTTCGGTTTTAAATGAAATTTAGAGCTATTATAATTTCGTTATATACCTCTGATTTTCCCACACAGTAGGTTTATCTCTACACCCATGTGTCCAAGGAGAGCCTTGTTCGAACAAAATACGAAACTACACTACAACGCTATAGCAGCATGAAGGTGCCCTACATTACGAATAACAACAGACAATCCAAATTACATTCAATTATTTAAAGAGGACAAATACCTCATCTAACAGATTAACTGTTTTTAATCGTATGAGAAATACATCGCACTTTCACAGTGACACAACCAAATATTGCATGTCATCGGACGGCGGGAAGCGGCGGTGATCTCATCCTAGATGATCTCATGGATGATATCATGGGTGATATCATGTTCGTGATCTGTTTGTGAGAATGAATATTTTCACATTTACCCTTTGAAATGACAGAAATTAGGCGGCATGTAATGATATATCACAAACATGTCCTGATATACATCGTAAATATCAACACATTGCTATATACGTTGACTGCACTGAATCTAAATCTAGCGCATGGTTAAACAATGAGACACACATCATCACTTGCACGAACAGATACAAAATCAACAAATCAGTTCAGCGAATTAAAGTCACTTGCTTAGGTTCTAACTTCATCTGTTAAGTAATTGCTAGTTGAGGATTATTTTTGTGGACTATTGACGTTCCTCGTGTATCTGTGAAAGAGGTTTCTAACAGCTGGAAATAGCACCCTGTCCGAGGACTTTGATGTCGATCAATGGCGGCTATTAATTGCCGTGTGCTTGACGGGCCTATCGACATATATTCGACATCTCGTATTTGAGATAATCCATATAGTGGCGTCATGCAAATATGAACAATTTACAGTTGTGCTGTCCTTGAATTGTGGGGTTTGCGTATGTATATATATGTCTATATGTTTTCGGACGGCGGTATTTACTCAAAAGCTAAAACGAGGCGGGTTACGTCACATAGACATTGTAAACACTCGGCTGGTGGCTTGTGTTTAGGATAAAGTTGAGGACTATTTTTATGGATATACAACTTCTTTATTCTGTATAGGCGACGTTTCGACATAGATTCTAATGTCGTTGTCAAGCAAGTGATGATCACTTGCTCGCCAACGACATTAGAATCTATGTCGAAACGTCGCCTATGCAGAATAAAGAAGTTGTATCTCCATAAAAGGAGTCCTCATCCTTCATCTACCCAACTTCTAGAATGCCATCAAAGAAGTAGGATAAAGTTGTCTTTAATAAGTCAGTGACGTGTTTTACCATTACTCATGCGATAATCGGGAAACCAACAATGGCAGAAAATCTCTATATGGGATGTAGTCTCAAAATGAAAGTTAGAGGTGCATAAGTGAATCCATGGATGTCAACTTTAACATGACAGCACGAGTTATTATTTCAACTGATGAATTGAACTGATGGAGGAGTAAGCGTAATGCCCCTAAACGTTGTGTTTCTCACATTAAAGAAGTGGACATCCAAAAAACCACATTCTCTCCCATAGACGGCATTAATTAGCAGACAAGAAATGGATCATCTCACACCAGATTGTCGTCCGGCGGCCAGTACGCACAAGAAAAAACCAGCTGTAGTTTTGTAAAATATTTTGGATCATTTATATTGTCAAAGTGTTTTCGTTGTTGTTATGACATACTTTGCTATTATGATATTTTGTATTTTCTATCTTTTAGTTAGGCGTATTCGTAAAAGCAAAGGAAGTGTAAAGCCTAATATGACAGACAGTAAGCATCTAGTAACATAGTTGGATTAACTACTCCACGGTTCACCCAGGGCTCAGGGTTCCCACATTTTTGTGAAAAAAAGAATCCCTTGATTTTTCCAGACAAATATTGCTTTTTCCATACACAACAATATATGTCCTAGGGTATTTTGATACCTTGAAACATATATTACTGTGTCTGAAATAAAACAATATCTTAAATATGACGTCCATTCTCCCCTTACAACTGTCCATTCACACGTCTTTATGATAAGATGACATAATAAAAATGAAACATGAAGTGTAGCAATTTTTCTTTAACTCTTTAACTACATTTTTTTGTTTAGAAATTTAGTACCACATGTATTTAAGCAAGTATTCACACATATGCAAACTAATCCAGATACCCATGTTGATGGCTGCCATAGCTCATGTAGTACTGTTAAGATTTACAGTTTTGTTAGGTAAAAAAACTGAAGATTATTCCATGATTGTTCTATGATTTCATCCATTTTTTTCAAATTCAATGATTTTTCCAAGACTGAAAGTGGGGTGTGACATTTCCAGGCTTTCCTGGTTTTGTGGGAACACTCTAGGTGCTTGTCACTAACTAGAGGTAAAGAAATTAGAGCAGTTCAGAGAATACCGTCAGTTACCATTCTTTAAAGCGCAGATAACAACTGCCACTGAGTTCAGTCAGAATCCTGTCAGTTACCATCCTGTAAAGCATTGAGAAATAAGGTTGCATACACCAGTGTTCCTTCTGTATCATATCTGACATTGTCAATCTGATGGAGTTGGGTCAGAGAAAGACGTGGTTGTAATCGGAAACAGTGACCCACACCGTGGAACTATGCTCCGCCATGATGACAGGTCTGATCATTTCATGTGCGATGCCAGTAATTATTTGGTAAATACAAAATGTCAGCGCCATAGAACAACCAGTCTCCAATATGTGCCGAAATAGATTCATTTGGTG